TACATTTTATGCATGTACCTTTATCGACATTATGTTCGATAGTGAAATAATGAGATATGTCTATGTTTCGCAAGGATGTTTTATCGAGCGTCTATCAAACGAAGTTTATACTTTAATCAAAAAGCATCGATGTCGAATCGACCCAGCCAGTAAGAAAATCAAAGAAATACTAATTACTCATGCCAGGCTATGAATAAAAACGATTAGAAAAACTGTTACCCTGTCGGAGATACAATCCTGAAAGAAATCAAAGAAATACTAATTACTCATGCCAGGTGATGAATAAACAGCATTAGAAGAACGATTATCCTGTCGAAGGTACAATCCTGAAAGAAAAAACAGAAACAACATTTCAAGCACAAGAAAACAAGAACCAAAACTCTAGTCGGCTCTATTCGTCGTGCTCAGAACAATGGCGTGACTGTACGAACCTTTTCTTATAAATTTCATCCTAGGTATGACGATATAAATACATCTGGCAACAAGGCCTCTGATCGGGCGTTTTTTGAGGAGCTTGGAACGATCTCTTAATGGCTATTGCTCCCACGTCTAACCTGACCCGAGATTTTAGCACATGTTAGGGTCGCAGCTATGGGTAAATTGTGAACCCCCAAACAAATATCAAGAAGACATTTTATAGTAAAATTTCCAACAATACTTTTGTATAGCAATCAATACAACACTAAAAACGTACCAACAATACATTTTTGTAGTGTAATTACTTGCAATACGTAAAAAAATTACCAACAATACATTTTAATAAAAATATTACTAATACGTTTTTATAAAAAAAATTACCAATAATGCATTTTTATAAAAAATTACCATCTATACATTTTATTAAAAAATTACCAATTATACATTTTTATAAAAAATTACCCACAATACATTTTATCATCTACAAACTATATGTCTAAAAAAAACATTCGTTTTCTGTGAAAGTTTAAAATTATGCACAAAATATCTATAGTTGAAAGCATAAAACTGTGTACACAATATTTAAATTTTGGCATTTATTAACCCATAGAGGTGTTGATATGCCACAAAAAAACTCAACCAACCAAGTAAACAACCATTCTAATAAATTTGATACCTCTCTCTCTCTCTCTCTCTCTCTCTCTCTCTCTCTCTCTCTATATATATATATATATATATATATATATATATATATCTTTATTATAAAACAGACCATTTACTTAAATATTTGTATCTATAAAAATAACGTATAAACAAAAAAATATGAAAATAATTGTTGGACTTAGTCCATTTCATAATATATATATATATATATATATATATATATATATACATGTGTGTGTGTGTATGTATGTATATATATATATATATATATATATATATATATATATATATATATATATATGGATTGATGTGAATTTGTGACCCTGGGTTTCACGCTTTTTGCGATCGTCAAACTGATTAATTTTTTTTTTAATTTTGGGTTTATGTAGATTGCGTGTATTGGTGTTATTATGTGAGTAGGGGGAATCGTCGTCGTGATGTCATCGTGCTAACGCAAACATAGATACATGTCCGTACATCAGATGGGGTACGCAGACACACATACACACTTGCTTGTCCGTCGGGACTCATAAATATATAAACATATGTGGACAGTTTCGGATTTGTCATATGTATGTATATGGGTGATGTTGTGTCTATACATACGCATTTGTATGTTGAAATTCAAAGATTGGAAGTGTAGTGAAAATTTCTCGTGAATGTCTCGTGAATGTATACATGTCAACAATCAGAGCATTTTTCTATTTTTCCACTGAATAATATTTCCTCGCATGTATGTATATATGTGTGGTGGGGTCTGTGTAAAATTATGATAGGTAAAAATTACTATTATTTTTATTTTTTATTTTTTTTAAAAGTTTATTTGTTATTATTTTAAAGTTGGTTATTTGCTTGTTTTTGATGACTGTGTATATGTAACTGGTAGAAATTTCGGTTTGTAATCCTTATTGGTTATTTTATATGGTGGTATTAAATATGCTGGGGGAGGGGGTAGTTTACGTTAATAATTTTGACGTGTTTATATGATAATAGTAGACGTGATGTGATAGTAATGTTGTAAGGGGGGGGATAATGATAATAAAAAACAATAAATGTAATTATTGTGGTGCTAGCTTGTACTAAAGAGTGATTGTTGGTGTTTTATTTTATTTCATATATTTATTTATTTATTTATTTATTTTGGTATAAATCCTGGTAATAGGTATTTATTCTCATGCCTACATTTGGAAATTATCTCTGATCTTATTGGTTTTCATTTGGTGGTATTAAATATGCTGTATATATATATATATATATATATATATATATATATATATATATATATGAAGAGATAGAGAGTACCGTCCAAAATTAAAAAGTAAAAATTAAAAACTTCGATATCTCAATAAATATAATTTCAATTTTTTTAAATTTTCACTAAATATAGACAAATAGCAGTTCAGTTGTGCTCTAATTCTGTAAGTTATTTGAAATAATACGGAGAAAACTATGGTTCATTTAATTTTTTATTCATATATTAAGTGCCCCAAATTAAGGTACAAATCGGAAAATATGTGAGAATAACGCACATAATCCGAATTTCTAAGCGAGGTTAAGATAAAGATTGTTTATCATTACTACGTTATTTTCCAACATGGCGAACTGACAAGTCTCTAAGAGTTGATGTTGTCAAACTGCGAAAGTAAAATCACACAATTGACGAGATTGCTGAACAGGTGAAGCGTTCCAAAAGCGTTGTAGGGCGAATTTTGTAACTTTACGAAAACAATGGTCGCTTAACCTGACCAAACGAGGTCGGTAGACAAAGGATAACAGCGACCAGAGAAGACAAAATCGTTCAACGCTTAGCACTGACGGACCGTTTTCGAACTGTCAACGGCATTTCACGAGAAATTTCAGATGACATTAATGTGTCTCGACAAACTGTGCCTAGACGCTTGTAAGAAATAAAGCTTTATGGTAGATGTCAACAGAAGAAGCGGCTCATAAGCAAAAAGAACAAGATAGCAAGACTGGAATTTGCAAACAAGCACATGTTGTGGTCAGAAAAACAGTAGTCTTGCGTATTTTTCAGTGATTAAAGTAAATTTAATGTATTTGATTCTGATGGAAAACAGTATATAAGACAAATTGAAAAGTTGAGTTCAAAGAGCACCAAGGAAACAGTCAATGTGGGGGCAACATGATGGTTTTCGGCGTGTTTTTAAGACTGTGTACGTCACCTCTTGTACGCTTACATAATAGAGTTAATGCTGCTATATACAAGAATCTGTTAGAAGAATATATTGTACCAGTATTACAAAATTCTGAGTTTGAAAACCCTGTGTTCATGCAGGATAATGTTCCATGGCATAAGGCAAAGCGGGTTATTGCTAATCTGAACGACCAAGGAATAAACGTTATGGATTGGCCAGTTCAAAGTCATGATATGACTCCCATAGAAAATTTATGGAAGATTTTAGGACAAAATGACATAGCTAGGAATCCGTCAAAAGTCGAAGATCTATGGGAAAAATTACAGGCGGAATTGTCTAAAATTACGAATTTTGACGAATATCAAAATTTAGTGAAATGCTGTGGACGCCGATGTGCAGCAGTGATTCAAAAGAAGGGTGTTAGCAATAAATATTGATAAGACATTTTACATTTTGTTATCCAATTATTTTTTAATTAAAAATATTATTATTTTTCCTTAATTTTAGACACTTCATATTTGGGTAAAAACTTAAATGAACCATAGTTCTCTCTGTACCATAACAAAGTATTTATAGATTTAAAGCACAGATGAACTGCCATTTGTCTACATTTAGTGAAAATTTCAGAAAAATTGGACATATTTTTTCAGATATCGAAATTTTAATTATTGTTCCTTAATTCTAGACGCTACTATATAAAGTGGGTGAAACAAATATTCGTACACATACAAATTTTAATTTATTGTATTTCCAACTAATGAATAAACATACTTTTCATATAATTAACTGCACACAGATGCATAATAACCAAATATGCATTGAAAACAACAAAAAAAAATTGATTTACTTTAGTTTTGTTTTTTTTAGATAATATATTACGATTTCGGTCTCTGGTGATAAGTATACTTATGAAAACCATCTTTTTTTGTGGCTTGCCTCTGAACTGCTTCAATATTTTGAATATCTTTCCTAAGCCAGGGATGCCAAGACTTACGGATAGGTCTTACGAGTGGTTTCTACAGCATTGGGATATTTTCCATAGATTTTGGTGACTAGGACCCGTTGATAGCACCTAGAATCCTGTTTGCAATTGTTACAAATTCGGCTTTGTGGTGCGAAGTATTTGGTGGTTGATTTATGCAGACACCAAGATCTTCCAGAGTTATTGACTCAATTAAAACACGATCTATGCATCTAGCCTCATACAAACTATACCGTACCCTCATAAGCACGCAAAACCTTTCGTAGATAATTAAAAAAACAACACCGACATCTGTTGTGCCCTTGTCAGATCCGAATATTTAGCGTTTCTAGGAATAAAAACATCTTTTCGCGATTTTTTGTGCGTAAAGCAATACAATTCTTTAAAATACTCCAAGACTTGGCAGAATTGTTTTCTTCACCTTCAGTTACCTAAACAGGTTTATTAACAGACGAGAACATACATCACGTCCGGTAATAGCTTGAAGGTAAAGGTGAAGGCAGAAAAGAGAGAGGTTTGTGTTTTGGATGCCAGTATTCGAAATCCTATCTCCTGTCTTGGTTCAAATTTGCATTGTGTGTGAAGAACTATCTCAACCATCAAGAACGGGCATAGATAGATAGATAGATAGATAGATAGATAGATAGATAGATAGATAGATAGATAGATAGGAATAGGCTCTGATAGATAGATAGGAATAGGCTCTGATAGATAGATAGATAGATAGATAGATAGATAGATAGATAGATAGATAGATAGATAGTAGAAAGAAAGAAAGAAAACTAACTCATCATCGCTTCACAGAAGGTGCCCAGTGAACATGAAGTTCTAGCCACAATTTAAAGAAATATGTCCATTAAAATTCTTCAGTACGTAGTTCCCTTCGGATATCTATGCAGCCATTCTCATAAATAGTACTGTTCACAAGCAGACAGGCCTAAGTTCGTGATATATTCGTTTTGCTCGCACTATTTCTTTCTTTTCTTTTTATGTGCCATGTCCTTTCAGGACGTAGGCAAATCATAGCTCTCCACCTCCTTCTATCTCTTGCAGCTCTCAACAAGTTCCTTCCCTCTGCTTCCACTCCCAGACCGCGTTCTGTCATCCACTTGCATAAGCCCGCTAGGTATGTCACGCGTTGTTTTCTCTTGCCTCTCTTTCCCTCTATTCGACCCGTGAGTATCAGATTCTCCAAGCCCTCCTTCCTCATTATGCGTCCCAGAAACTTCAGCTGCCTCTTCCTGATGTTAAGTATAAGCCTTGTTTGCAAACTAAGACCTCGTTGCTCACACGCATGATATCATTAGCATCCTTCTGTAGAACCACATCTGCTTCGCCTCTAGTCTCTTCATCTTTGAGGAAATCCTCCATCATTCACTGCCGTAAAGAAGGACAGATGTCACGTAACAGCTCAGTATTCTTTTCTTTGTTGCCAAAGAAATTCTCCTGTCTCGCAATACTCTGTCCAGTTTTTGGAAATTGTCCTTGGCCATCCCAATACGTCTACGGATCTCAGTGTCGCACTTCCCGTCCTATGTTAAGACGCTTCCCAGATATTTAAACTTCCGCGTCTGCTTGATTCTAGTGTTCCCGACCTGCAAATCGAATTTCGGGGTCATCCTCTTACTGTCATTCTGTCTTCTTGTGGTTTATGCTTAGTCCTTTCTTCTCACTCTCCGTCGCTATCTTCTGTAGGAGATTTTGTAATTTCTTTTCCGTGTCTGCTATCAGTAACGTGTCATCTGTGTATCTTATGTTGTTAAGATTGTGGCCACCAATGCTAAATCCCGGTTGGGTTTCCAATTCTCTCAGAATTGCCTAACTGTATAGATTAAACAGGTCGGGTGAGAAGACGCATCCTTGCCTTACGCCCCTTTCTATTTTTGTATATTCATTGAACTCGTTCCTTATGCGAATGTATGCTGTTTGCTGCCAATATAGGTTCTTGATTCTTCTGATATCTTTATCAACTATATCAAGATTGCTGAGTAGTTACATCAGATCTTTGCGGCAGTACTTTGTCAAAGGCCTTTGCATAGTCTATGAAACATAGGCACATGTCCTTCTGCATCTGTATTGCTCTTTATGATAACATTCTGAGCATGAATATCACATTCCTTGTTCTGGTGTCTTTAACGAACCTGCACTTGTCCTACCTCTGACTTGATTCTGCCGCGCGCTTTATTCATCAGAATGCGGATGATGAGTTTCGTTACGTGGCTCATTAGGCTTATTGTTCGGTGGTGTTCACCTTCGTTTGTGCCTGATTTCTTAGGCAGTGCTATGAAAATAGATCTGCTAAGGTCCTCTGGTATATCCCCGCTGTTGTAGATTTCATTTGTTATGTCGGTGATCTTGTCTATGCCAACGTGATCTAAGGCCATTAGCATTTCCGTTACAATTCCGTCTGGCCCAGCTGCCTTGTTTCTGTTCAATTTGGCCAGTGCGGCATTTATTTCGGTTTTCATAATTCCAGATCCATCAGTAGTTCTGTGTATTGCTGGTTGTTCCCTTTCGTTGTGGAAGAGTTCTCCAATGTACTCGCTCCAGCGTTGAAAAATTTTTTCCTTCTCTAATATAAGCGTTCCATCCTTTGATTTTAGGCAGCCAGTTGACGAGAATGTCTTCTGTCCTGTTAGTTGTCTTATTTGTGTGTGCGTGTCTCATTTTTTTCTATTTCTACACATTTTTCGTTTAGCCATTCTTCTTTAGCTTGCCTGCATTTGGTCCTTATTTCATTGTGTAATTTTCTATCCTCCATTCCGTATCTTGGCAGGGTTTTCTGTCTCCTTTCCATCACTGTTAAGATTTCCTAAAACTTTGGGAAAAACTTCGCGTAATATCGCTTATACATAAAGCGTGAATTGCCATGGTTTCGGAAATATAGTAGAGTGACTTCCCGTAGACTTTTCCACGGTTTTGAATTCAGAGTAGTGCTTCTATAAAATTCGTTTCCACTCAAGCCTGGAGAAGTACCGTCTACATTGCTATTTTAAGCTGGATGATGAATAAATGTATTCATGCCTTTTCTAAGGGCATTAGTGCGAAAGTAAAGGAAACAGAGGCGGGCTGAACTTGAACCCACCTCTCCAGCACCACTTTTGAAACTGTTAGTTTTTACACTACCATTTATAAAATCACTAATTAACGATATTAACATTTGTAGTTTATCTCTTTAAAATATGGGTGATCATGACTCTCCACAGCTTCCTTGATTTTTGTGCTTTCGGCAGTACATTTTAATAGTTCTTTTTGTGGTACTTGTTCGTCCACTCAAGTAGGTTATCCGTATCTTTCCTCTGCTTCTCTGGCTTTTGATGTGACTTGTGAGTATTAAATTTTCCAAGCCTTTGTTCTTCAACATGTGTGCCAGAAATTTCAGCAGTCACTTTCTGACAGTTTCTTCTGGTTCATATTCTACTTAAACCTTCTTCATTTCTCGCATGTTCTGGCCATGGTATTCTCAGCATCCTTCTGTAGAACCACATCTCTGTCGCATCCTGTCATGTTTTTATCTGTAAAATATTGTCCATCATTCTATAAAATATTAATAGCAGTTCAGTATCCTTTTTCTTTGTTTCAAACGATATTTTCCTATCTCTTAATATATTCCTTAGTTTCTGAAAGGCATAAGTAAATTATCCCGCATTCACTATCTTATCGGAGATTAAATATTTTATAAAAGTTCAGCTCTCTTTTATTTGTTTTTAATGATATTTTCCTATTTCTTAATATATTGCTTAGTTTCTGAAAAACATGAAGAAATAATCCTGCAGCCACTGTCATATACGAGATTAGATATTACATATCAATTCAGCACTCTTTTCTTTGTTCCAAACAACATTTTCCTATAAGACATTGCTTATTTTCTGTAAGACATGAGATTATTCAGTATTCACTGCCATATACGAGATTAGATATTACCTTTTTACTTTGCTCAGTTTTCGAAGGACATATTTCGCTTTCCTTATAGGCCTTCGGATTTTCGCAATACAACAACTGTCAATTAATATAACTCCAGATATTTACATTTTCATGCTTATTTGATGGTTCCTTTATGTAACTTTCATCTCGGGCTGACCCTTTTGATAACAATCATGCATTCTATCTTGATTAGCAAATAAGAAAATGCTGAACAACCTCCTCACAGATATAGAAGTGACTTGAAGCAACAGGAATGTGGTTCTACAGAAGGATACTGAGAATAACATGTGAGCAACGATGAAGTTTTAGAGAAAATGGAAACAAAAAGTGAACTTATACTTAACATTAGAGATACCTGAAATTTTTAGGGCACATAACGAGGAAAGGGGGCTTGGAAAATCTGATACTCACAGGACAGAGGAAAACAAAGCATAATATAGTTAGCTTGAGTAAATGGATGGCAGAACAAGGTTTAGGAGACAACAAAAAGACAAAATTTATTAAGAGCTGCAAAGGACAGGAACTTGTGGAGAGCCTTGACCACTTACGTCCTGAAGCTATACGGCATATAGAAGAAGAAAAATGAAATTGTATAAATGGATGGCGGGTTTAGGAGAAATAACAAAATGACAAAATTTATTAAGATTGACAAGGAAAGGGAATTTTAGAAAGCCATGATCGACTACTACTTGGTACTACAGAATGATACTGAGAATTGACGAAGTTTTAGAAAAATGGAAACATATTAACACCAGGAAGAGACAGTTGAAATTTCTAGGGCACATAATGAGGAAAGAGGGCTTGGAAAATCTAATACTCACAGTACAGATTGAAGTCAAGAGGAACAGAAGGAAACAACAACCTCATTCAGACTCTAGAGACGATGCTTCCCTAATCGCTAAAAGCTTAACATCTTCAAGTCTAGGGTTAACCGTCATCTATCCTATATATATTCATAATGTGCCCTTCATACCTCCTCCTCTTCCTTTCATACAACAACCTCATTCAGACTCCTGAGAAGGTGCCTACCTAATCGGTACAATCTTAACCTCTTCATGTGTAGAATCAAATGTTATCTATCCTACATATCCTCATTCAGTTTGAGTGGATCGTGGATCTTATATTGGGTTAGCAACAGCATAAAAATCTCTCCTGTACGTCTTTGTTATAAAATTAATGGTTTGTTTTAAGTTATTTACGAAGGCAGTAGGTGAATAGACAGACTCTGTACAAAAAATTTAGTTGTTCAATTTAAAGATACATGTTAACAGAGATAAGATCGAATATAAGTCTTAAAATGCAAAAATCACAACAAATTAATAGATAGATAAAAAAAAATAGACCTCGTTTACAATAATTAAAAAACAAATTCGCTTTACACAAGATTCAAAAAGGTAGGCATAAATCCGGTTTACACAAGAGTTAAAAATGGAAGGCACAGGTTCGTTTTACAGTAGATTCGAAAAAGAAAAAAATAAGCTGAGTTTATACGAGGGTCAAAATGGCTGATATGGGTCCGGTTTGCACTAGAATCAAAAACGATAGACATGGGTTCGGTTTACACTAGAGTGAAAAAGGTAGGCATAGGTCCGGTTAAACACTACTCAAAAAGGTAGAGATACTAGCAGTTTAAACTAGAGTCAAAAAGTAAATAAAATCCCGGTTTGCACCAGATTCAAAAAGGTAATTGTACTAACAAAAGTACACAGGTGTAGGCTTTAAGAAAGCTTTAGTCAACTGAGAATACAAGGTTCGAGTATAGTGTCCTTTTATAGTCCCAGTAAACAGAAATAGCTCTCTCAATGAGGAGAGTAACAAAACATGGGGAGACCACTCATAACAGTAATCATCATTATTT